TGTGTGCTCCTAGAGTTGGTCAACTTGCCTGTGAGGTTTGTCCTTTGTAGGCAAACTGTTACTTAGTCTGTTCTTCTACCAGAAAGCTTAAATCTTACTGTGTATCACAAGAGTAGGACACGGGTTACCTCTAAGGCTCAGGGATTCACTCTGTATTTCATATACCGAAGGGGGTAAGAAGAATTCCGTTGCTGATAGCTCTGTTCATAAGGAGGAAATATGTCTGCCATACTGGATCAGTTAGTTTTGAGGAGTTTGTAACAGCAGTGGCTCAGTGAAGACATGCCATGGGCCAGTTGGTTTTGTTTAGCTGTGATCTTATAGCGGGTTCAAAGGTGTGTTGCAGGAGCACTTAATAACCTGATGAATTTTTCCTTGTATTAAACACAAATACCTGGCCTGTTTGGGGAAGCCCTGTGGTCTCCTGACCGCAACGTGCAGGCATCTGAATGAATTCCTACTCTCTGCTTGCCTTGTTTTATATACTTTTCCCTCAGCATCTGCTGCTAACTGTCAGAGGCTAATAGAGATGTGGGTCTCTAGTCTGCCCCTGTACCATCATTTTTATAAAACCTATCCCACGGTAACACTTCGAATGACCTCAGAGTACTTTCAGATGTTTTTTCCAGATGCTTAACTCTCCAAACTCAAGCACTGCCATGGAGTGCAAGATGTCTGACGGTGTGCGCAGAGCTGAGTGTGTGCATTAGTATGTCTGTATACAGCTGACAGATTAAACAAACCTTGAAGTTCGCTGGCCAGTTCTTCTGTTTCAGTTGTATCAGACAAAGTGTGTGTGATGCTCAAGAGTACAGTCTAGGCTTAGAAATGTAGCTTAAAAAATGTTTTATGCAAAGAATGTTCTAGCAGTTGTAGGTATACTGAAGGGAGGGAGAGACTGATATTGTGCCCTTTTAAAAATGTATAACTTTCTAAAAATTGTCAGCTCTACTTACCTTAAATATATCATGCAGTAAATGGGATGATGCTGTCTGTTTGCTGGCTTTCGGCTCCTGGCTTATGTAGCAGTTGACCCTAAATGTCTTCCATTTTTGTGGCATTGATCTTTTGCCTATTAAGCTAGTTTTCAAACAGAATTATTAATAAACAATTTTTCAATCTCCTGCTACTACAGAAAGAGTCCCTTGTAAATGCTAACATTGAACTTCAGTGGAGAAGTAATCTTAGTCAGCAAAACTATAAAAATATCCTTTTTAAAGGGACAGACTGCACCTTATCTTTGATGGCAACTTAATACAGTCTCTCTGAATTATGTGCCTCTGTCAAAGCAAAATTAAATCTTTGGAGGCAAAAATTCAATGTTAACGTCAGAATATTTCAATTTCCTTCTACTACCCCCTGACAAACATGCATGATATGTGAATTGTATTGTTTTAAATACCTCATGAAGGCTAGCTCTAGTGTAACCGAAAGGGATCATTTCAGCTGATAGAATCACAGCTGCCCTGAGATGCCTTTTTGGTTTAATATTTGGGATCTTCTCTCCAAATAGTACTGTTCGTGTCACACTTCTGCAGTCTTGTATCGTGATCTGATTTTCTTTTTTTATTAATCCCTAATGGTACAGGCACACAGCTCTTAAACCAAGCAAATCCCCCACCACCACCACAATGCATTGAATAGACCAAGCAACAAATCCTGTTGTGAGCAACTTTCATATTTAATGCATCTCTGAAGGTCAGGAGGAACAGCCGCCTGTCGTCCTGCTGTTCATGCTCTCTCTGAGGATGGTTACCTTATTTTTGAACCCTTGCTTGTTACCTAGGCAATCCTACTGAAACAGGCAGTGGGGTCTCAAAATTCATTAGATTCTTGGCTATATCTATCTTAAATCCACAAAGTCTTTCACTTAATAGAGGGGACATAAAAAGGGTGAAGGGACTTCTGTGTTAGCCATGGTTAGGAGGGGAATTTGTCTCTAAAGCATGCTGTATGTATTGCAGCAGTGCCGGGCAACCTCACATCAGCTGTAGCTGCGCTAGGCACTGTACAAATGTGTAGGAGTTTCTTCCTTAAAGTATAAAAAAAACCACAGCAGAGGGGAGCAGAAATAATGTGTCTGAATGGGTTATGATCTTATTGATGTGTACCCTTGAAGTGTTAAAGATAATGTGAAAGATAGAGGGGGGAAAAGATCTTCCCCCCCCCTTTCTGCAGGCTCACAGGCTATCACACAGCTCCTGAGCTCTTCTGAAATGAGTAAAACCTCCAAAGAAGCCACGGCTTACAACGCAAAAGCAGAACCAGTGCCGTAAAGCTTGCTACTTGATCTTGTGTGGGTGGCTCTCTTACCCAGTCGCAGTCGCTGCCTTTATTCATTGTTCAGGAGCTTTGTGAAACATCTGTGCTTGAGCTCTGAAATGAGTAACAGGAGCTTGCTGGAAGCAGAGTTATTTGTTCTTATTTAGAACTTGCAGCTTTAATGTTTATTGCTACTGAATCTGGGTGTTCCTGCTGTCCTGGATGCAGATAGCCCACTATGAAGCTTAGACCTGGTTATGCTAAGGTTTTGCTGTTGGAGAAAGCAGAACAGTACTCTTAAATACTTTCTTCTCCCTCAAAGTTTTGGCCCATTAATTGGTTTCTTGGTAACTTGATTAATATCTTCATTTGGTTAGTCTTTAAATGTGGGTCTTGTCTATGATATCTATTGTAATCTGGAGCTATGACCTGTCATAATGTAGTCTATAAAAAGTTCACAAACAGTTTTGAGTATCATTCTAGAAAACTAGTAGTTGTCTATAGTACATCACTGAGGGACTGAACAAACGTGGTATGTCCAGTTTATACTGAGGACACCTGGATAGAAATTGATGCTGCAGCTTAAAAGTGCTGATGAGAAATAATACTCACCTTATGCTGCATGTCAGTAGGAGTACTCGCCTCTTGCTGGTCCCTCTTTAGAAAAATACTCTTTTCCATCTGAACATCACCTTGAAAGTCATGGGATGAAATCTGAAGTCAGTGGAAGTCTTCTGTGAATTTCAGAGGTGTCAAGATTTTCTCTGATAATCTTGCCTTCTAAAAGTTATATATATATATATTTGTGTGTGTTTGTTTAGCATTTCAGAGGAGATTATATATGTGTGTGTTTGTTTAGCATTTCAGAGGAGTCAAGATTTTCACTGATAATGTTGCCTTCTAAAAATTACGTATATTTTCTTGTGCGTGTGCCACAGGGTTTGTTGTGGATGGAGCTGCTGTTGCAGGGTGTGTTCTAGACTCGGGCTGTTCTTTTCCAGTTTAGCTTTCTGCAGCATATCTTTTTGGTTTGAGCCTGGGTATGTGGCAATCAGAGGTACAGCAGCTGCTGCACTGCTCTCATGTCTGCCTGTCTTGTGATTCTGAAAACCAGGACCAAGAGCATGTTTGTACCTCTGTGGCATCACTTGAAAACCATTATCCTGAGGATGCATTGTATCTATTTATAGCTAATGTTATTAATAGAAGAAAGGAAGAATGTTCTTTTTATGTAAAAAGCAAGGCTAAATCTTAATGGTTAGACCTAATGTTCATAAGAAAGGCTATCAGATGCTTTTATTGTGGCAATCCAGTGCTCTGTTTATGTGGATTGTGCTTCCAAGGCTTGCTGGACTGCAGCCTAGCTACATTGTGCGGCAGCCTTCCCACAGGACACATGTTGGTGCTGCAGCATAGATGAGGGAGCGTTCGTACGTACCTCTGGTAATGTCATAGCCCTCTCCTGGGAGGAAACGATCAGCGGGATGGAATTGTTGCTCAGTATTGGCAGATGTTATCTCACTGCTATGAAACACTTAATCAGCTTACCAGGAGGCTCTGGTTTCTCAGCCCTCAGCTGACAGGGGTAGTGAGGAAGGAGAAGTAATCCAATTGAATTGGAAATGCAGACTTGACTTTGCTTCTCGTGTCACCTCTCGAACCATAATAAAAGGAGAAGCACTTGGGAAGTGGGACCATCTCATTTCATTTGTACAGTGTCAGGGTAATGGTATCGAGTTCCCAGCTGGTTGCATATAATGTGGTACCTCAGAACCAACTGTTTTGAGGAATGCATCACTGCTGTTTCCTGGTCACAGGCAGGGTGGGTGAAAAGATAGGCTGTTAAAGAACAAGGCAGTTTCTTGTTGCGAAGGATGTTTTAACGTATTGGAGAGAGAGATGAGCTAGGTTCTACTTTTTTCCCCTCCCCCTGTTTGTGCCATTAGTGCACAAGGATGACTTTTGTCTTTGTGGTACTTTCAGAATGAAGGAAGAAATTCTGCCAGAGTGTTTTGGGAGATGACGAAAATTCAGAGAGGTATTACAGAACTGAGCACTAGGATGGCTTAAACTGGGAGCTTGTGCTCCAGTAAGCTCTGGTGCATATGTCTGTTCCAGTAAGCATCTTCCAAATGTACAAGCACTGTTTCTTCATGGCTGAGTGAAATAAAAGCTCTGTAAACTTTAAAATGCAATTTTGCTATGTAACGCGATGGTGCAAAAATGGCACTAAGTTCTCTTCATGGATCATTCACCGGAAATAGTTGGCATAGAGCTGCTTCAGTAACATACGAGTTAACTGAAGCAGTGTTAGGAAATGAACTAGGTTCTGTTTCCCTCATGTGATCTGATAAATAGAACTCTTGTCTAAAAGCTAGTAAAAGATGAAGACGTTTGAACGGCGTCAGTTGGTATCTCAGCCAATGGGATTTTATTACTGTTAATGATGTGTCATAATGGAAAACACAAACTGAACCTGTAGGATAGGTATGTATGCAGGGTCCGTGCTTGTAAATGTAGACATCTGGTTAGAATCTTGCTATGTTGGATTTTAAAGTCACCTTTTAGAAAAAGACCAATTTTTTTAAAAGGTGCCCATAGGTGGTAGACGTGTTCCAGAGCATAAAGATATGCCCTTTATTAACTTGCATGGGATCTTTTTTCCTATTTGTTTTCCACTCCTTTTAAAGTATTTTAAAAAACAGATTTAAATATAACACATTGTTCTCTGTTTTCAGAAATGAATAAAGCTAGCAGCCCTACGTAATACGCTGATGGCATTCTACACTGCATCGGGATCGATGAGTCAAGAGAGTGTGATGCCTAGAAATTTCCTCTCAGATTCTCCTGAAATGGCATCCGAAATCTCTCCAAAGCACGCATTTGGGAGCATGGAGAGGGGTGGCAGTGTGGAGAATCGTGGCAGCCAAGCTAGGTGCAGAAATCTTGCCTTGGTAAGTGTTTAATGAGCCTTATGCTTAGTGATACAAGTTACATTAGCAGCTTTGTACACATCACAAGATTTTTGTTTTTTATTAAGCGTTGATTTTTGCCATTTCTAGTCCTAAATGGTTGCTTGTGGTTGTTAACAAACTGAAAGGCCAGAAATAACTACTCTGATTTGTTACAACAGCTTGTTATTCTGGTCTGATTGTCTCCAAGAGCTTGGAGAGTGCTTCTCTCTGGCCATTCCTCCCAGAGAACCAGGAACGGCAGTAAGGAGCACACATTATGCTGGGCAGCTCGGTGCAACCACCTGCATGTGGTGTGCAGTTCGGTGCACATCTCTGCCCTCACATTCTTAAGTAGCTCATAAAGAGACTTAAGGATAGTGTTGGTTCTATACGCTTTCTGGCTTAAGCTCCTTGTTGACACTACCGAATGAAGGTCTCGGCTTATTCCACCCTCATATAATTAGGTGAGTAACAAATATGTCACCATAAACAAAGCTGTCTTCACATTAGTGAATATGAGCGTGTGGCCATTTAAATAGCATGTGAGTAATTGAGGGAGTAGGATGCACTTCTGCATTTTTCCAATTAGCAGGATGATTCAGGCAATGAACTCAACAGTACTGTTTGTACTGTGGCAGGCTAAGCCTAGAAAGCAGGTATGGTTCCTTGCACTTTTTTTATCATCACAAGCATTTGAAAAGCATCCATTTTTAATTCATTTACTCTGGTAAACGTGTTTTCCCTAAATGGGAATCTGAACCTCTGTCTTGCCATAAACATGGAATTAGGCTTTCTAGATCTTTCCCTCTGTCCTCCCTGCTAGCTTCTTTTTAGTGAAGTAGTTTATTGCTGTGAAAGAATAAGTGATGAAAATAAGTCAGCAAGTTGATACCCATATTTCTCTATTTACCTCAGAAATGCTCAGTGTTTTGTGCCACTTCGAGCTTTCTGGCAACTGAGGTAATTCTAAAGATGTTCCTTCTTTGTATTTTCATTAGAAACAACTATTTGGTTAATATTCTGCTGTATCCTTAAGGCAGCTTGTGTTGCTAGTTAAAACACGAAACAAGTATTACTAAATTTAGTCCCTTAACTGTTTCTGATCTGCTCTAGAACACAAGTTGTGAAGGGTCAGGGTGGGGGAGGTCGAGAGAGTAGCCAAGTACACCATTTGGACTCAGGTATTTAGGGTATGTTGTTTTATTGTATGAAAACTGATTGGATCTTAGAAAATTACAGTGGGAGTTGCACTTTGTTAAAGAATTACAACTTAAAATTACCTTGTAATTCTGCATAAAATTATGCATTACTCTGACTCCAGTTTTCCAGGTTATCAAACTAGTAGCCAATCATGTTTCTATGGGTTTTATTCTTAGCTGCTGTAGCAGGCATAAGACTGGTCATTTGAAAAAATCAGTATTGAATAACGAGGCTATGTATAAATCAGTATGTTTGTACAGTCTCATCCTGAGTCTGCTGTGTCAGAAAATGACATAGATTCCCTTAGTCTAACTAGATCTTACCACGTGATAACCCATATGATGATGCATCAGCTAGAATTGGAATCCCTTCCTACTCTGTAATGCAGTAATTTATAGATGGAGTAAAAGCTGGCTGCGAGTTTAGGCAATTCCCATCAGACCTATGCATCAGCAAAAGAGGTTCCCAAAGCCTTGAGTTTGTCTTGTTTGAGCTCGTGCATGAAGAAAGTGAAGCATGTACTGACAAGTTTAATTCTGGTGCCACAGATCCCCTTCCGTGACTGTTCTTCCAGCAGTATAGCAGTGGCATGTCCGATAAGGCTGACAACTAGCATGTGTGGAATAACAGGTTGGGGAATGGAAACTCTTTTCAATAAAGGCATAATTTCAGTTTTTGAGTTTGAGAAAGGGGTCTGTGGTGAACTGAATATGAAGGAAATTCTGCCGATTGTGATTGAGTAAATAGGACTCAAGTCTTTAGTGCTGCTCAGATCTTTCCTTTTTGTGATCTGATGTAAGAAAACAGTATTGTTCCACTGGCTTGATACCTTTTGTCTGTTCGGCACTGAAACAGGCTTTAGAAATCCTTAGGATAAAGAGCAGTATTCTTCAAATATTTATTTTTCTATATCCTTGTGTAATTGTGTATTAAAAGCGTGATTTTTACAGTCCGCTAAGCAGATCAGGGAACTTGTAAGAGGAAAAGCTAGTTGCTTTTCTCTAGAACATGCTCCTAGAGATCTTAACTTCTTGCTTCAGTAGTTTTGTTATAAAAGTTCAGAAGATGCAGAAGCTTTAATGGCCTAATGAGAAGGGAGGGGATAGATAACTTTGTGTAGACAAATAACTTCTTATTAGACCAATTCTGAGAAAGGAAGGGGCAGATTTTCAGGCACACCGGACCTTCATAGCCCTGAAACAGAAGCAACTACAGACTTACCTGCCTCTTCATTTATCTCTTTTCTGGGTCTGTTCACCTAGAGACACAACAAGGAAGGTCAGGGTTGACTTTGAATTTTTTTTAATGGCCTTGCAAAGGAAAGAAGTGTAGCAGTGTGGTTTTTTATGATAGGCCTATACTGCTGCAGGCTTCTTCCTACTCAATTACAAAAAAGAGGCTCTTAAGCTTCTTGGTGTCAAACTACATTAGTCACTAAATATAACCTTTGTATTGCACCTGTGGAATTCAAACAAATCTAGTGATGTGATAATAGAGACAAACGCTTGGACCGGCTTTAGCCTACGCTGACTGGTTTGGCTGACTGTTGGCTGTTCTTGCATACTGTGTGTCTGTGCTGGCATTACTTGCTGTGGAACTGGTTGTCGGTTTAGGAATGACTAGGAGATGGACATGAATTGCCATGTGCCAAAAAGGTCTTAAAATTCTGTGTGTGTGATTCTTATCAGTCTGCTGTTGTCAGTTCAGTTGAATTTTGCCAGATTTCTCAGCTTCTTCTTACCTGTGCTTTTAGTTAGTCTTTGACAATTGCAGTCCTTAAAGCCAAATTTATTTTTTTTTAAATGGAAATCAGCAAGGTGCTGATGTCCTGTCTTGATTGCAATAGAATTTTCCATATAAATGATAGATGTTCAGGTCTGGATTTATGCTGCCAAATTTATCACAGCAGCTGAAGACAAGTACAAGAGCCTATGTTTAGATGGGAGGAATGTTTGCCTTGATATTTTCATAGAATCATTAAGGTTGGAAAAGACCTCTAAGATCATTGAGTCCAACCATCAACCCAACACCACCATGCCCGCTAAACCATGTCCCTAAGCGCCTCATCTACACGTCTTTTAAATACCTCCAGGGATGGGGACTCAGCCACTCCCCTGGGCAGCCTGTTCCAATGTTTAACCACTCTTTCAGTAAAGAAATTTTTCCCAACATCCAATCTAAACCTCCCCTGGCACAACTTGAGGCCATTTCCTCTCGTCCCATCACTTGTTACTTGGGAGAAGAGACCGACACCCACCTCGCTACAACCTCCTTTCAGGGAGTTGTAGAGAGCGATGAGGTCTCCCCTCAGCCTCCTCTTCTCCAGGCTAAACAACCCCAGTTCTCTCAGCCGCTCCTCATAAGACTTGTTCTCCAGACCCTTCACCAGCTTTGTTGCCCTTCTCTGCACACGCTCCAGCACCTCAATGTCCTTCTTGTAGTGAGGGGCCCAAAACTGAACACAGTATTCGAGGTGCGGCCTCACCAGTGCTGAGTACAGGGGCACGATCACTTCCCTACTCCTGCTGGCCACACTATTTCTGATACAGGCCAGGATGCCATTGGCCTTCTTGGCCGCCTGGGCACACTGCCGGCTCATGTTCAGCCGGCTGTCAACCAGCACCCCCAGGTCCTTTTCCGCCAGGCAGCTTTGCAGCCACTCTTCCCCAAGCCTGTAGCGCTGCATGGGGTTGTTGTGGCCGAAGTGCAGGACCCGGCACTTGGCCTTGTTGAGTCTCCTACAGTTGGCCTCAGCCCATCGATGCAGCCTGCCCAGGTCCCTCTGCAGAGCCTTCCTACCCTCGAGCAGATCAACACTCCCACCCAACTTGGTGTTGTCTGCAAACTGACTGAGGGTGCACTCGATCCCCTCATCCAGATCATCGATAAAGATATTGAACAAGACCGGCCCCAAAACTGAGCCCTGGGGAACACCGCTCGTGACCGTCCGCCAACTGAATGTAACTCCATTCACCACAACTCTCTGGGCCCGGCCGTCCAGCCAGTTTTTTACCCAGCGCAGAGTACACCTGTCTAAGCCGTGAGCCGCCAGCTTCTCTAGGAGAATGCTGTGGGAGACGGTGTCAAAGGCCTTACTGAAGTCCAGGTAGACCACATCCACAGCCTTTCCCTCATCCACTAGGCGGGTCACCTGCTCATAGAAGGAGATCAGGTTGGTCAAGCAAGACCTGCCTCTCATGAATCCACGCTGGCTGGGCCTGATCCCCTGGCTGTCCCGCACATGCCTTGTGAGCACCCTCAAGGTGAACTGCATACATACTGTTTCATCTCACACCAACTTCTATAACCATAAAAGTTCTTATATGTGAGGACATGAATTTGCACAATATTTTGGTTTCTTTTTAATGAAGGTGGTATCCATACATATGCTTGGCAAAAGGATGAGATAAGTATACCTTCTCGATACATGGAATCAGTTGCACTATCCAAGGGGCAGGGTAAACAAAAACACTGTTCCTCTTGGCAATTCTGACTTCCAAAACTCATTCTCGAATGACACTCCCTGATATGTGGTGTAAGAATTAACTTGCAGTGAAATACAGTTGCAGCAATTTAAGGACACTTAATTCAGAGATAAAACTAGGTCTTAGCTTTTTTTGAAGCAATTTGTCTTATTCCGTTGGCTGAATAGGCACAGACCGACTTCTTAAAGCCAATCCTTTTTCAGTGCTTCACTCTGGTAATTGTACTGTGTATCTATTCTCAGCCGTGAGTAACTGCTTTAGTTTCTAGGTGTGAATAACATGTTAGGACAATAGTATCACCTGCAAAAATCATAC